GGAGTGGTGTTGGGGAGGGGGAGGGTAGGGGGGTTCCTGGCTGGTAATACAGCCTTGCACACGTTTAATTAATATTGAGCCATGAACTGCACTCGGCTCTGCAGGCGGCGGATGCTTTGATGTGCTGGTTCTGGGGGGGGGGCCCGGTGTGTGGGGGACCCCCTGCAGCCCTCTCTGTGATTCCAGCTTAGTGTAACGAGTCTTCTCTGATCAGAGCCACCAGGACGCGGCTGAGAAGAGCCACCGATATACCGGCTCAGGGAAATCATGTTCCAGCAGATGCTCCGCCTCCAGGCTCTATCTGACTTGCTGCAGCTTCTAATGCACATCGCCCGGACCCAGAGTTTAAATTTCAAGGGGGTCTTCTCAGCCCTCCCCCCCGGTTCTAATCTGAGACTACGGAACAATTATTCCCTATGCTGTGGAGATGAGAAGCGGGAAGGGATGCAGTAGTTTAGCAAAAGATAACTGGGCAGGGCTGTCACTCCACAAAACTGTTAGCCAGCGACAGGAAATCGGGAGCCTTTCCCGCACATCATCCGGCGACGCGAGGAGTGTCTTGCAGATATTTATCGCTTTCATGGGAGGAGCGGAAGACGCGGTCTGCACTGCGGATGAGACGCCGCCGCCGCCGTTACGAGGGAATCGGAGACGTTAAACAATGTAACCGGGACTGGAAAGGTGATCTCCCCACAGAAGGAAATGATTGGCTCTGAGCGGAGTGATCCTTTAAGGCTCCGTTTTCATCTCGTGGCGTTCAATGGCCTCTCGTCAGCTCAGCCTGCAAGTGGATTTGCGTCGAGTCCAGGAAGCCGCGGCGATGTAATGACTTGTATTCATGTGCCGCTGATCCGTGTAAACAACGGCGAGCGCTTACAGGAGGAATGAAAATAGTCAGGCGGGAGGCAAAGCATTGATTACCCAGATTAGCGGCGGCTGAAGAGAAGCGCGTCGCCGTCTCGCCAACGCATTCCAGTCCATGTGCAGAACACGCTCCATGCTGCCGGGAGGACGTATTATAAGGAACGATCCGCCGTAATCTGGTACGGCGGCAATCTACGGTATAGGACATCGTTTACAACACCGGCGCTCGTGTGCCGTACGCGACTCCCTTCCCGCACTGCTCAGATGAATCAGTCTAAGGTGTCCGACTGGCTGCGCAGCGCCGCACAAGCAGGAGGGTGTTATACGCAGGCCGTCGCATCCCGAGCATGTTCAGGCGTCCCATTCTGGTGTTTTGTAGACCCGCCTTTCATCCTCCACCCATAGAACTACCTTTCATCCTCCACCCATAGACCCGCCTTTCATCCTGCACCCATAGACCCATCTTCCATCCTCCACTGCCCATAGACCCGCCTTTCATCCTCCACCCATAGAACTACCTTTCACCCTCCACCCATAGGCCCGCCTTTCAATCATCCTCCACCCATAGAACTACCTTTCACCCTCCACCCATAGGCCCGCCTTTCAATCATCCTCCACCCATAGAACTACCTTTCACCCTCCACCCATAGGCCCGCCTTTCAATCATCCTCCACCCATAGAACTACCTTTCACCCTCCACCCATAGGCCCGCCTTTCAATCATCCTCCACCCATAGAACTACCTTTCACCCTCCACCCATAGGCCCGCCTTTCAATCATCCTCCACCCATAGAACTACCTTTCACCCTCCACCCATAGGCCCGCCTTTCAATCATCCTCCACCCATAGAACTACCTTTCACCCTCCACCCATAGGCCCGCCTTTCAATCATCCTCCACCCATAGAACTACCTTTCACCCTCCACCCATAGGCCCGCCTTTCAATCATCCTCCACCCATAGAACTACCTTTCACCCTCCACCCATAGGCCCGCCTTTCAATCATCCTCCACCCATAGAACTACCTTTCACCCTCCACCCATAGGCCCGCCTTTCAATCATCCTCCACCCATAGAACTACCTTTCACCCTCCACCCATAGGCCCGCCTTTCAATCATCCTCCACCCATAGAACTACCTTTCACCCTCCACCCATAGGCCCGCCTTTCAATCATCCTCCACCCATAGAACTACCTTTCACCCTCCACCCATAGGCCCGCCTTTCAATCATCCTCCACCCATAGAACTACCTTTCACCCTCCACCCATAGGCCCGCCTTTCAATCATCCTCCACCCATAGAACTACCTTTCACCCTCCACCCATAGGCCCGCCTTTCAATCATCCTCCACCCATAGAACTACCTTTCACCCTCCACCCATAGGCCCGCCTTTCAATCATCCTCCACCCATAGAACTACCTTTCACCCTCCACCCATAGGCCCGCCTTTCAATCATCCTCCACCCATAGAACTACCTTTCACCCTCCACCCATAGGCCCGCCTTTCAATCATCCTCCACCCATAGAACTACCTTTCACCCTCCACCCATAGGCCCGCCTTTCAATCATCCTCCACCCATAGAACTACCTTTCACCCTCCACCCATAGGCCCGCCTTTCAATCATCCTCCACCCATAGAACTACCTTTCACCCTCCACCCATAGGCCCGCCTTTCAATCATCCTCCACCCATAGAACTACCTTTCACCCTCCACCCATAGGCCCGCCTTTCAATCATCCTCCACCCATAGAACTACCTTTCACCCTCCACCCATAGGCCCGCCTTTCAATCATCCTCCACCCATAGAACTACCTTTCACCCTCCACCCATAGGCCCGCCTTTCAATCATCCTCCACCCATAGAACTACCTTTCACCCTCCACCCATAGGCCCGCCTTTCAATCATCCTCCACCCATAGAACTACCTTTCACCCTCCACCCATAGGCCCGCCTTTCAATCATCCTCCACCCATAGAACTACCTTTCACCCTCCACCCATAGGCCCGCCTTTCAATCATCCTCCACCCATAGAACTACCTTTCACCCTCCACCCATAGGCCCGCCTTTCAATCATCCTCCACCCATAGAACTACCTTTCACCCTCCACCCATAGGCCCGCCTTTCAATCATCCTCCACCCATAGAACTACCTTTCACCCTCCACCCATAGGCCCGCCTTTCAATCATCCTCCACCCATAGAACTACCTTTCACCCTCCACCCATAGGCCCGCCTTTCAATCATCCTCCACCCATAGAACTACCTTTCACCCTCCACCCATAGGCCCGCCTTTCAATCATCCTCCACCCATAGAACTACCTTTCACCCTCCACCCATAGGCCCGCCTTTCAATCATCCTCCACCCATAGAACTACCTTTCACCCTCCACCCATAGGCCCGCCTTTCAATCATCCTCCACCCATAGAACTACCTTTCACCCTCCACCCATAGGCCCGCCTTTCAATCATCCTCCACCCATAGAACTACCTTTCACCCTCCACCCATAGGCCCGCCTTTCAATCATCCTCCACCCATAGAACTACCTTTCACCCTCCACCCATAGGCCCGCCTTTCAATCATCCTCCACCCATAGAA